TTATTTCTACTTTTATATAAAGTTTTATTTTATATTTATTTTATATAAATAAAATAAAACTTTTATTTTCCTTCATATTCTGTAGGGACTTAAAGTTCAAAATATCAATATCTGATGGAAACTATCTGAATAGTTGGTAATTTTCTAAAATAATTCCCAATGGCAATCAAGTGCTCACTCTGCCAAGAAGTCCATGTGGATTGCAGAGTGAAACATCCACTCCTTGCTTCATTGGTATGCCATACAACTGACCTGTAGTACAATCAACCTAATTCTGTTTCACTTCCCACTGAGTTTGTGGAATTGAGGACATGCAGATGAAGAGACATGAATAAGTTGTCTCCTACTCATCTTGGGATGGTAGATTTCCAATAAATTATCTGGAAAAAAAAATGTATCTCTCCCCCTATGTGGAAAGAAACATTGCAGCTTATCTCCCAGATATATTTTACCATCCCAAGTATCACCCTCCATGTCAAGGTTGTATACAGTGAGAGCAGGGCCAGAGACAGAAAGAAGTCGAGAGCATTGTAGTGATTCACACAATCCATCAAAATGACCTGGGCTCACACATGGGCATAGTAAAGAACTTAGGGAATTGACACACTTGCAACAGGATGTCTTCTTGTTTATGTATTTTGTATTTCTCCTCGAGTGACTATTTTAGAAAAATAGATTTCCAAAATTTATATTAGTATGATAATGGACCAATGCAGTTTCTACTCTAAAGCTAGTTACACATTTTGATGAGTTATTTTTGAAACAAGAAAGAGACTGAAAATGACTGGAAGATGTCTTCCAAAGAGGCTGTATGGTAACATCAGTGCAATCGGATTGTTCTCTCTCTTATTGGTCTTTTGTGCGCCTGCCCTCATCTCTCAACTGTTAAAAACCTCAATTGTTATTTCCTTGAAAATTAGTTTTGTATCAGGATGTCTGTGGACTGGTGTTGGGCATAGGCTAAGGTACAAAAAAATATAGTTCAGTGCAAAGTTGGAATATTAAACTCATTTGTTTCTTGGGAGAGTCCTGATATGTGTTGTGGTTTTTCTTATGAAACTTTTTATTTCAGCACACAAAGATTACACACTAACACAAATAGAATGTCTATTTTACTAAGAATTAAAACAGAAACTGATAAGTGTTTAAATCTTTGCAGAGCTATGACCTTTGTCTTTACCCCCCATGGTGTCATAAAGCAATCTTAGGTCCCAATAGATCCTCTCTTCTTACTTGTCTTCCATAGCCTCCTAATGGGGCAGCTGCCAGTGTTTGCATGGATTTCTTATAATCTCTTTTCCAGAGGTAATGCTTTTGCACCAAGTATTTTTGTGTGCTTACAATTCACAGATTAAAACCTTAATATTGGCTGTAATACTGTGGGGAAAAGGAATGTGAGGGCGGTTATTAGACACTGAAATGATATGGCTGAACCTCCACGATGTGATCAATGTGGTTTCAGAAGAGGAAGAGACTAGAGCTAGCTTACTTGGACACATTATACACAGTGCCATGAGGTGTGAGGTTGAGCAGCACCAGGATGGTGGCCTTCCCCAAACATAACTTTTGGGACCTCCACCTTGGCTGTGACACCCTCCAGAATCCTATAGGAATAAATGTGTACTCTTTCGGGCACCCGGTCTATGATACTTCAGGTATAGCAGTGTGAGCTGCGTGAGACAGTATCCCCTCATGTCATCCCTGAGGCTGCATGTGTCCCTACTAACCTGCTCCAAGTAGCCAAAGTGTCTATGCTCAGAGGCTGTTCCTGGTCTTTCTGTGTTTCATACAAAGTACAGGCAGCTATCCTTGGTGAGATTTTCTATAAATCAGGTTCTGGAACATGTGTATGGCCATGAAGTTGTGTGGTGAAAACCACAGTGTGTTTTGAATGAAATCTCAGGATGGCCCAAAAGGACAGGTAACATATTTAGAGCCAGGGCCTATATTATTAGATACCCAGGGTGATACATCACTTCCATATTTATGGTATTTTTATTTTGGACAGAAAAAATACAAAAATAACAATAAAAGAGTGTTTCAAAATAGGCTAGAAACTAATTTCCATATGTGTTTTTCAGGGTTGGCAGCTGACTAGATGGTTATCTAACTGAGGTTGGGAATCAGGTGCCTGCAGTGGGACACAGATTGGCCCCACAACCCTTCCCTGCTTTAGAAACAACATTTTAACATGGAACAGGTATTGTGGAAAAATGAAAGTCACACATTGGTGAAACCTTGGAAAATATAGGAAGCATCTGATCCATTAAACAATTTTTAAACCTAGATTTTTTTTTCCCTCATCTAGCGTGACAGACCTTCAGAAGCCTGATGAACAAAGGAAGCAGAGATCATTCTGCCACAGAAGCAAGGCCACGTGGATTAGATCAGCTTGAGATTCAATTTAGATTTAAGAAGAGCCACATGAATGATGTGTGGGCAATTCGAATTGTACATGTCAGTGTCATTGTTATATATAATCTATGTTCTACAACAGAATGAGTGAACAATGCATCTCAGGACTGGCCAGATAGCTCAGTGGATTAAAGCGCCTGCTTAGGCAGACACAGGGGCCAGGGGTTTGATCGCTGAGCTGCCATTCCAGCCCCGCCTTCGGGGTGCACAGAGGTGGCCATTGAGACTGGGCATGGTGGCGTGTGCCTGTAAACCCAGAACTTGAGAGGCTGAAAACAAGAGAATCACTACAAGTCTGATCTGTGCAGTGAGACCCTGTAGACCCTGTACTAAGTACATTTTTTTAAACAGTGCATTCTCATGGAATCACATTAAAGACCTTATACATTATTTGAGTATCTAATAGTGATTTAGCAACGCAAAGTGATGTTTAACAGTGGGTTTATTCACATTTACATACTCCATATGTCAGACTCTGCAGAAGGTCATCACTAAGATGACATTTGTTAGGTCAGATAAATGATGAAAACAGAATTTCTACTTCTCTCAATAAGCCAGCTCCACTTCCTGTCTGCCTTTTTATTTAAAACCCATGTGTAGAAGAATGCCTGTGACTGATAAGAAAGTATCATTCTTGGTCAGATCTGATGCAGAAAATGTACTTTATTTAGGAAAAGACTTCAAGTACAGAGGAAAGTAAATCTGACTACTAGGGGATGGGTCAAGAAGGACCAAAGAATTCAGTTGGCAGCGATGGTTTCCTGAATCCAGCTCAGGTAGTTGCACACCTTGGTGTAGACCCCAGGCTTCCCTTTCCAAGCACAGCCAGTGCCCCAGGAGACCACACCCTGGAGCTCTCCATTACAGACCACAGGTCCACCAGAGTCACCCTGCCAAAGAAAAGCTCAATTAAAACTCTTGTTAATGTTCATATGGGAAAATCGTCTTCTGGTTGTACTTCTATTGTCCTTTGACCATTTTTGAATGTGGCAGATACCACCACAAAAATGTCCTGCCCTAGCAATGAAACCTTAATCATTTTATTCTGGAACAACACTTCCTGCTTCTTTCCTATGATCCTTCCTTTCCTCAGGGTATCAAGTGTTCCAGAGAAAGGGGGCGTCCTACAGAGACGGAATACTACCCTGTTAGCTCTGATGCTTTCACAAGGGTAGCACCCCCAAAGGACAACTTCTTGGAAGACTTTCACACTGTACATTTTATGTAGCAGTCCTCTTTGTGTCCTATTCTCTTAACCCTGAATTTGTTGTGTGTGTCAATATAAGAAAAAGAGCATTTGTGTTTTCAAAATGTATACCTGAGCTAATGCAATAGCTGTGCTACCACCGTCAGTCTCTGAGATCTGAGAGACATTTTTTCAGTTTCTCTGAATTATGAAAAAGAGTGAGCATGTTGGAGAAGAGTGAGGCTGAACGAACTAGGAAGGAAACACAAGATCACCTGGCAAGAGTCCTTTCCGCCCTCCAGGAAGCCTAGGCAAAACATGTTGTTCGAGATGCGGCCTGGGTAGGAATTGTGACACGCAGCATCAGACAGGACAGGAGCACTCAGGCACTGGAGAAGGGAAGGGTACTTACCTGTTGAATGCAAGAGTGAAAAGAGAAAATTACAAGTGACCATTATTCAAGAACCCCACTATAGGTGCTACAGGCCTCCTTCCCACAGCAGCTCTTGATTCTCACAATACTCCCACACTTCCAGTTGGCCTCTGATGACTACAAGTTTAAGACAAGTTCCCATTTCCTAGATGCTTTTCTGGATAATGCTAATCAACTTGTTCTTCCCCAAATACTAATATCAGCTGATACCTCAAACATGGGGATGCATGCAAGAGCAGGCACACTCTCCAGGTATCACCAAGTTGCTTCTCCTTGGTTCTCCTTATCTCATTTCCAGCACCCAGGACATCACTAATCCCACCTCAGCTACACACCTCAGCATCCTCATAGATCTTTTATGTTGCACCCACTTCATTCTCTTCAGAAAGATATGTGGATCGATTTCTTTAACACATTTCAAGGTTGTGCATTTTCACAATTTATCCAAGTTCAACTTTTGCTTCTGTGGTTCTTGCCATGAGTGAGGATTTGGATAACCTATTCTCAAAGGACCCTACCTCTCTATTGTGTTCACGCTTACATTTTCCAGGATGCACTTACTGCCAATGATCACCGTGTTGCCCCAGCCAGACACGAGGCACTGAGTTCCTGCAGTTGGACAGGATTTGGGAAGAGAAACCATGGACACTTGGGAGTTGAGGCTGGCGGGTTTCTTCAGTTTAAGTAGCATGATGTCATTATTATACTTGAACTGGGCTACCCCATTAACAGTGGTATCCTCGGGTGTGTAATTTGGGTGGACAACGATCTTCTGCACATCAATGAATTGTTCATCACCTTCAACAACGTCAATGTCATGTTCTCCCAGACGCACCTGGATTCTCACATTACTGTGCAGAAGGATTAAAAAATTCTAAGTGTCCGACATTAGCTTCATCCCCTCACCCCAACCATCAATCAGAAATACAAAAATAAATGATATCATGTGCAAGCATTGGCTCATTCAGGTCATTGCACAGTTCCACGAGCTTTGTGCATTGCTCCACGGGGTAGAGATCATCATATTCCTTGGGTAAGCACCACTCCTCATACAGACTTAGAGCTCAGCAACTTAGCAAAATGGCAAGGTTTAGAAATTGCAATCCAAAGCACTTTTGAAATTGTTGGTCTTGAAAAGTGGGTTGGTGGTGACAGACAAACAGTTGTCAATTTTAGTTTGAAACAGATGACCTATTTTAAAGGAATAATGAGGAAGATTCACAGAGTACAGGAAATTTGAAGAGAACAAAGTGACTTAAATTTTTTTTTACCTTGTTCTGGAATCATGATGAGTTTTAATATCTACACAGGGTTGTCTTTCCTTGTTAAGTTTCAGTGATTAGGACTATATACACTTGATTTCTAAAAATATTTCCAGGGATATTCAATCAAGCTATTTTTTTTCTTCTTTTGAGTCTTTAGTGTCATATTGTATGAAGAGTTTGGGGAGCATTAAGACTACTAGTCAAAGAAAATGTCCCTAAATTCATCATAGAATTCTTTAGAAAAAAAAGAGGATTTTCCGGATCTTTATGCATTATAATTCAAGTACAGCTTTGTCCTTTATCTTGATTGTGCTTAACGGGGCTGGAAGGTTAGTGTTGGGAGCTGCAGGAAGCTAGGAAATTGATCAAATGTGTGTAGGTGGGACTGGGCCTCAGTGCCTAAAGCAAACAAGCTACCTCAGTCCTAAGTAATACATCCTGTCTGGTTCATGTCAGCGATTAGTTGCTAGGCAACCTTGTGTCATGTGTTACAGATTTGCAAAAGTATAAATAAAAGACCATTTTGTTGTGTGTGGAGTTGATCTTGCCCATCAGGTGGACTAGCAACCACCTAGCCCAGCTTTTGTCTTTTTATCTATCTTTCTCATTCCTGCTGCCATGTCTCCCTGGGTGGAACCGTTCACAGTAAGACCAACAGATTCCTACAGGTTAGTTGGCCTTCACACCTAGAGTGTGGCTGTTGGTCACTTACCGCTTATAGCAGTGAGCCGCAGACAACACCCACTGGTCAGTGATAAGGGAGCCCCCACATTTGTGGGAGCCTGTGTTCAGTGACACCTGGTAGGGGAGGGAGTTCTTCGGACAGGTGTAGCCTCCAATGATCTTGTCATCATCGTCGTCAATGGGAAGAGCAACTGGCAGAGATAATTGGGAAATTGATTAGAAGAAAAAAATGGCTTTCTACCATCATGAATTTTATTCAGACTAACTAGTAAAGAGATGATATTTTCCTGGTCACTAGTGCTGGAATTGAGAGTTTTCAGGTATTTTATATGAACATTTTGTTCTATAACATTATCACATATTTTTTCTCATGTCACTGTTAATAAATATTTAGAATTTGAATTTATGTTTTAAGTTTGTTAAATGTGCTATATTTACCCCTCTGCCACTCAGCACAACAAGGTATGCCTACAAGCACACACACACTCACTCACTCACACACACACACACTCACATACACACTTACAAACAGTAACAAACTCTTGCACAAACTTGCAATAATCACAGATGTCCTAGAGAATACTTTTGCAACCACCAACATCAGAAGATAAAGGGATAAATATTTTCCCTCAAAACCCAGATTAACAGGTATGGAAATAGAAAGTTTTCCTATAATCTTGCTGGTGTGTGTGTAACATTTGGAAGATAAGATTTTGTCTGGCAAATCCCTCTCTATGACATAATATAAAGAAACATTTAAAAGAAACCTAGAAGATTGGCTGAATAGCTCAACATGTTAAAGCACCTGCAAGCAGGTACAGGAGCTCCGGGTTCAATTCCCAGACCTGTCATGCCAGCCCCACCCCCGGGCACGATGAGATGGCAATTGAGACTGGGTGTTGTGGTGCGCACCTGTAACCCAAGCTCTTGCGAGGTTGGAAATAGGCTTATCACAATGAGTCTGATCTAATAGTGAGACCCTGAACATCCTGCAGACCCTTCCCCCAAAAAATAAAAAAGAGAAAAATGAATAAAAGAAACCTAAAAATCTGTCCCAGAAGGAACTGCAGAGTTTACTTTGACTTTCTTTCTTTCCTTATTTCTTTCTGGCACAAAGCATTCATGGGATCATTTCCTAGAACCTTCTATGTTCTCCCTATCCAATCCTTCCCCCATTACCCAGTTTTTTTCTAACATTATCATTTCAGTCTTCATTGTACAATAGATCTCATGTATCTGTGATGATTTCATTCTGCTTCCAAAGCATGTAAGAATTTTATATGAATACTGTTTATTCACTGTTTAAAAATCTATGTAGGAAATACATTTCCAGGCATGTAGGTATTCACATAGACTTTGTGTTACATTTGGAGAAATTTAGTATTAGAGTTTCAAAGCATAACTTGTATTTGGATCAGAAATTGTGTTTTCCATCAAAAGAAATTACCAACAAAGTGAAAAGACAACTCACAAATTTGGAAAAAAATCATGACAAATAAGTATTCAGACAAAGGTCTGCTCTCTAGAATTTATAAAGAACTGAACAACATTAGGGCCCCTAAATTTAAAGATGCAAACCAGAAATGGGCACCTGAGATGAAAACACGCTTCTCAGAGGATGAAATTAAAGAAGTGAATAAATATATGAAAAAATGCTCCACATCACTAGCCATCCATGAAATGCAAATTAAACACTAAGATACCATCTCACCCCAGAAAGAATGACTATCATAAAGAAATCACCCAACAACAAATGTTG